GCTTGCCTCGGAAAATTTTCGAAGTCCTTGGCCTTGGCCTTGGCCTCGGAGGCAAGTCCTTGGCCTCGGGTTGCCGGTCCTTGGACACAACACTGCTATCTATCTATCTATCTATCTATCTATCTATCTATCTATCTATCTATCTATCTATCTATCTATCTATCTATCTATCTATCTATCTATCTATCTATCTATCTATCTATCTATCTATCTATCTATCTTGGACACAACAACACAACACTGCTATCTATCTATCTATCTATCTATCTATCTATCTATCTATCTATCTATCTATCTATCTATCTATCTATCTGTCTGTCTGTCTGTCTGTCTCTCTGTCTGTCTGTCTGTCTATCTGTCTGTCTGTCTGTCTGTCTGGCTAGCTAGCTAGCTAGCCATCTTGCCATCTATCAAAATGTGTGTGGTGTTGCCTTCGCAGACATTTCAAAAACAGCCATTGCTTCACATTATCTTCAGTCCGTCTATCCATGCATCCATCCATAAATCCATACTGTGTGCGTGTGCGTGCGTGCGTGTATGTAATCGTTGAACTTATGTACTGGTCTAGTCGAACTATTGAAATTCCAGTGAGGACGGAGTCGAAGAAAAAATCAACAGCGAGCATAAAATCACAGGGTTTCTGCACCAGTTGAAAAGTTCTGAGAGAATTTTTGCCCTTATCTTGAATGCCTTCAATGCTAGTAGTAACTACCAGAAGACTGCATAATCTCAGTTGAACCAATTAATGGATTCCAGAAAGATTGAGACATGGCTATGGAGACTTTTCTGTGAAATTGCGGAAGAAGGGCTATTCTGTTTTATATTGTCTTGGCTGCTCACACACATGTGGGCGGCTTTGCCGAGCCCGTGTGACAATGTGTGACCTCACAGTCTAAACTGAAATCGATTCTGTCTGCCAAGGGTGTCATAGAGAAGGGAAACTAAGTGCTACCAAGAGAAATGTCACAGCAAGATAACGGTCTGGCTCCAGTCACCGATAGAATCATAAACGCCAAAGAGACTTCATATAACACTGTCTTGTGATAATTGGTAGGCTGTCCTCAGTTATTGCGAGGAGTTAAAGAAAAATGTTGAAAAAAATTACCCTAGCCGACATTACGTAAAAAGGGGGGAAAAGTAAAAATTATTTTTTTAAAAGTGTCCAGAAAAAGAGAAAAGCTGTAATTCAAGCAAAAAACAAAGCAGAGAAGCGCATCTGGCATCTACACACTACACAAGCAGGAAGCAAAGAACCCCTTGACAAGAAACTCCTATGATGAGAATGTGCTGTGAAGGTTGCCGACTGTAACGTGGTCGTCGCCTGCTGTGGCGACAACGCGAGGACCTGTTGGTCCACACTAGTGATGGGGTATGGTGTCAAGCTGAAGGAGTCCTTTGTGGCCTGTGGGAGTCCAGATGCAGCTGATGGGTACTGGCTGGCCAAGAGTTTGGGAGGGAAAAATTCAGGCATGCGAGGAGTTTGATGAGATCATGGAGCATTGCTTCTGTACAGCTTTGAAGAAATTCTGGTCCGACATCTTACATCTCATGGAGGGTGGGAGGGGGAGCAGTGCACCATCAACACTATCTGTTGTGGAGATGGAGCGCTGGTGACCTTGACTCAGGAAGTTGTGAATTGGTGCAAAATACCTCCAAGACTTCTTCATTTCTACGATACCCCTTCCCACGAGGAAGCAGAGTCTGGGAAACATGAGGTGGGTTCTCCTGTCTGTGGGGTTGACCTAGCCAGGTCCTAGGGGTGGATGAGATCCACTCAGAGTCCCTAAAGGCTCTGAATGTTTTGGGTCTCTCCGGGTTGTCATGCCTTTCCAACATCCGTTACAGATGGAGGAGTGTCACACACCTCAGGCTCCCTTGTGAGGTCTATTTAGTGGAACTGTGGGCCTGCTCTACCACCTCGGCACAGTCCTCGAGGTCTGCCCAACCAGGTCCCTTGGGGTTACTCAGGAACCATGCGTGCTGGACACCCTAGCACGAGCTGTTCAGCCCCTGTACTTCCGGTGTCCGAGTGTGGTCCACATTACCGGCAGTCAGTCAGATTCATTTCCAATGAGGGTTGAACTCCGCCAAGGCTACTCTTTGTCACATATTCTGGTCATCAAATTTTTCGGCGCAGACAAAGTGTTGAGAGGCTCCAGTTTGGTGACAATACTATTATGTCTCTGCTTTTTGCAGATATAGGGCCCCAAAAACCTCGATCTCTAATTGTGGGTGCATTTAGAAATATGCTGTTGATTGTCTTGATTGTTTGTGTTATGGATTTTTGTTGTACTGTACACCATTTAGCCATGCATTTTTTTTCACAGGAATTCCCCAACCAGTTTTACCGCAATCCTAGTGGTCTCCATGATATTCTGAGGTAAGTGCAGATCAGCTTTCTGCTGCTTTCTTTCCATTTAGAAAAGCAGGGTGCACACCACCCTTTGCCACATGGTCAATGGTGAGTTGAAATGGGCAGGACAGATTTCCCACCACACTGGTCTAGGGCCATTTTGTCTGTCAATATTGTTTTGGGGGGAATACGCATCAAAAGCCCTGGCTATGAATCATAAATTTGTAATGCGAATAATGCAAAATAATCCCACAATTCTTCATGCGGCCAGTAATGCATATGATTTATTTCTGGTGAAGGCTCAAAATAAATCGTTTCACATTGCATTTTACGTGTCAAAATTTGCATTTGTTCCTAATTTAACGCATGGAATAGCAAAACTGAAAACCATAGATGTGTACATTTTTCCCATAACTGAACCGCAGAAACACTCCCACTGGGCTTCACTCGGCTGGATGCACACGTGTGAATGTAAGAAGTTGAGTCAAGCTCTGTGGACGTATGCGAGGCAAGCTCAGTGGACGTTTGCCACAGCAGTTAGCGAGCAACAAGTTTTGGCTGGCTAGCTAGTGCAGCTAATTGTGGAATCAGAAATCTTCGCTTCCATGGAACAATTACAACCGTTTCAGAAAGTTTAAACTGAAACTTATGTTTCTGTTTTGAAATTTCCACACTGAAAAATGTTTCTCGACAAAAAAATGCAATTTTCTATTATTTATCATGTGCATTTAATAAATAAAGGCTGGTGATTATACCAAAATGTAAACGACAGTGTTCCCTCACTTATCGCGGTTAATGGATACTGGGACCCTGGCAACGGGGGAACGTAAACAGTCACAGCTATGACGTGCGTAAATTCCCTCGGAAGGTAGTGCGGCCTGAGGCTAATGGCTAGCAGCTCAATGTGTCAACTGCAGAGTTCCTCTCTGATAGTGATCTGCCCAGGAATACACCATCTGTCATTCACAAACACAGCCAGAACCCCCCTCCTTTTCTCTTACCACTCCCTGCGTTCCTGTCCACATGTACGAGTTGGAAGCCTTTAAACTCGGCGTGTGTGTCTGGAGTAATCGCTGTTAGCCATGACAGCAGCAGGCTAGCCTCGCAGTACTCCTTTTGATGTCGGGTTAGCGCCGCTATCTCGTCCATCTTGTTAGGGAGTGATCTTACATTCCCCATGATGACGGACGGGAGGACATGTCAATACAGTATCTTCTCCTCCTCCTGCAGCGCTCCTTCCGGGCCCGACACCCTCGTTTCCTCCTCTTCAACTCGCGGGGAATGTCTGGTTTGTCGCCGGCCAGTAGCCCACTTTTAGCCTGCTAAGCTAACAGCTGGTCCCTACTGTAAACAATGGGGTTACGTGTGCGAGCGGGGTGCCCGTCCACAGTCAACGTAAAAAAAAAATAAAAGTAATTAATGGAGATGAGCAGAAATGAAGATGCCCATCTCCCCCTGTAGGTTTGGGTTACAAAAACACACAAAACAAGTCCGTCTATCCATGCATCCATCCATAAATCCATACTGTGTGCGTGTGCGTGCGTGCGTGTATGTAATCGTTGAACTTATGTACTGGTCTAGTCGAACTATTGAAATTCCAGTGAGGACGGAGTCGAAGAAAAAATCAACAGCGAGCATAAAATCACAGGGTTTCTGCACCAGTTGAAAAGTTCTGAGAGAATTTTTGCCCTTATCTTGAATGCCTTCAATGCTAGTAGTAACTACCAGAAGACTGCATAATCTCAGTTGAACCAATTAATGGATTCCAGAAAGATTGAGACATGGCTATGGAGACTTTTCTGTGAAATTGCGGAAGAAGGGCTATTCTGTTTTATATTGTCTTGGCTGCTCACACACATGTGGGCGGCTTTGCCGAGCCCGTGTGACAATGTGTGACCTCACAGTCTAAACTGAAATCGATTCTGTCTGCCAAGGGTGTCATAGAGAAGGGAAACTAAGTGCTACCAAGAGAAATGTCACAGCAAGATAACGGTCTGGCTCCAGTCACCGATAGAATCATAAACGCCAAAGAGACTTCATATAACACTGTCTTGTGATAATTGGTAGGCTGTCCTCAGTTATTGCGAGGAGTTAAAGAAAAATGTTGAAAAAAATTACCCTAGCCGACATTACGTAAAAAGGGGGGAAAAGTAAAAATTATTTTTTTAAAAGTGTCCAGAAAAAGAGAAAAGCTGTAATTCAAGCAAAAAACAAAGCAGAGAAGCGCATCTGGCATCTACACACTACACAAGCAGGAAGCAAAGAACCCCTTGACAAGAAACTCCTATGATGAGAATGTGCTGTGAAGGTTGCCGACTGTAACGTGGTCGTCGCCTGCTGTGGCGACAACGCGAGGACCTGTTGGTCCACACTAGTGATGGGGTATGGTGTCAAGCTGAAGGAGTCCTTTGTGGCCTGTGGGAGTCCAGATGCAGCTGATGGGTACTGGCTGGCCAAGAGTTTGGGAGGGAAAAATTCAGGCATGCGAGGAGTTTGATGAGATCATGGAGCATTGCTTCTGTACAGCTTTGAAGAAATTCTGGTCCGACATCTTACATCTCATGGAGGGTGGGAGGGGGAGCAGTGCACCATCAACACTATCTGTTGTGGAGATGGAGCGCTGGTGACCTTGACTCAGGAAGTTGTGAATTGGTGCAAAATACCTCCAAGACTTCTTCATTTCTACGATACCCCTTCCCACGAGGAAGCAGAGTCTGGGAAACATGAGGTGGGTTCTCCTGTCTGTGGGGTTGACCTAGCCAGGTCCTAGGGGTGGATGAGATCCACTCAGAGTCCCTAAAGGCTCTGAATGTTTTGGGTCTCTCCGGGTTGTCATGCCTTTCCAACATCCGTTACAGATGGAGGAGTGTCACACACCTCAGGCTCCCTTGTGAGGTCTATTTAGTGGAACTGTGGGCCTGCTCTACCACCTCGGCACAGTCCTCGAGGTCTGCCCAACCAGGTCCCTTGGGGTTACTCAGGAACCATGCGTGCTGGACACCCTAGCACGAGCTGTTCAGCCCCTGTACTTCCGGTGTCCGAGTGTGGTCCACATTACCGGCAGTCAGTCAGATTCATTTCCAATGAGGGTTGAACTCCGCCAAGGCTACTCTTTGTCACATATTCTGGTCATCAAATTTTTCGGCGCAGACAAAGTGTTGAGAGGCTCCAGTTTGGTGACAATACTATTATGTCTCTGCTTTTTGCAGATATAGGGCCCCAAAAACCTCGATCTCTAATTGTGGGTGCATTTAGAAATATGCTGTTGATTGTCTTGATTGTTTGTGTTATGGATTTTTGTTGTACTGTACACCATTTAGCCATGCATTTTTTTTCACAGGAATTCCCCAACCAGTTTTACCGCAATCCTAGTGGTCTCCATGATATTCTGAGGTAAGTGCAGATCAGCTTTCTGCTGCTTTCTTTCCATTTAGAAAAGCAGGGTGCACACCACCCTTTGCCACATGGTCAATGGTGAGTTGAAATGGGCAGGACAGATTTCCCACCACACTGGTCTAGGGCCATTTTGTCTGTCAATATTGTTTTGGGGGGAATACGCATCAAAAGCCCTGGCTATGAATCATAAATTTGTAATGCGAATAATGCAAAATAATCCCACAATTCTTCATGCGGCCAGTAATGCATATGATTTATTTCTGGTGAAGGCTCAAAATAAATCGTTTCACATTGCATTTTACGTGTCAAAATTTGCATTTGTTCCTAATTTAACGCATGGAATAGCAAAACTGAAAACCATAGATGTGTACATTTTTCCCATAACTGAACCGCAGAAACACTCCCACTGGGCTTCACTCGGCTGGATGCACACGTGTGAATGTAAGAAGTTGAGTCAAGCTCTGTGGACGTATGCGAGGCAAGCTCAGTGGACGTTTGCCACAGCAGTTAGCGAGCAACAAGTTTTGGCTGGCTAGCTAGTGCAGCTAATTGTGGAATCAGAAATCTTCGCTTCCATGGAACAATTACAACCGTTTCAGAAAGTTTAAACTGAAACTTATGTTTCTGTTTTGAAATTTCCACACTGAAAAATGTTTCTCGACAAAAAAATGCAATTTTCTATTATTTATCATGTGCATTTAATAAATAAAGGCTGGTGATTATACCAAAATGTAAACGACAGTGTTCCCTCACTTATCGCGGTTAATGGATACTGGGACCCTGGCAACGGGGGAACGTAAACAGTCACAGCTATGACGTGCGTAAATTCCCTCGGAAGGTAGTGCGGCCTGAGGCTAATGGCTAGCAGCTCAATGTGTCAACTGCAGAGTTCCTCTCTGATAGTGATCTGCCCAGGAATACACCATCTGTCATTCACAAACACAGCCAGAACCCCCCTCCTTTTCTCTTACCACTCCCTGCGTTCCTGTCCACATGTACGAGTTGGAAGCCTTTAAACTCGGCGTGTGTGTCTGGAGTAATCGCTGTTAGCCATGACAGCAGCAGGCTAGCCTCGCAGTACTCCTTTTGATGTCGGGTTAGCGCCGCTATCTCGTCCATCTTGTTAGGGAGTGATCTTACATTCCCCATGATGACGGACGGGAGGACATGTCAATACAGTATCTTCTCCTCCTCCTGCAGCGCTCCTTCCGGGCCCGACACCCTCGTTTCCTCCTCTTCAACTCGCGGGGAATGTCTGGTTTGTCGCCGGCCAGTAGCCCACTTTTAGCCTGCTAAGCTAACAGCTGGTCCCTACTGTAAACAATGGGGTTACGTGTGCGAGCGGGGTGCCCGTCCACAGTCAACGTAAAAAAAAAATAAAAGTAATTAATGGAGATGAGCAGAAATGAAGATGCCCATCTCCCCCTGTAGGTTTGGGTTACAAAAACACACAAAACAAAATAGGAAGAAGAACTTCAAACAAGGATATGCACTGCTGCAGAAGTGCTGAGCGGCGGCATTAAAAAAAAAAAAAAACTGCCAAGAACGGGCGTGACATGGACTTCCTGATTCACCTCATATTGACAAAAAGCAAGGCATCGACCTGTCATTCGGACTAAATCAGTGTGGGT